CGAGCAAAACACATATTCGGATTGAATGTAGATGATTTAGAAGGAGATCCGGAGCGATATACAAAGTGGTGCCAAAGTGAAAGAAGATTAGTTTGGAGAAATCAGCTTGAAACTTCGATGAACAACTTAGGAAAGAACGAAAGGAGCTAGCTTGATAACTCACGAGTGTAATATTCCGATGTATTCCTGACTAAGAAAAAGTTTTAGATTGAACAAAGGTACCATCACTATATTGAACAGACCATATTATAACGAAAAGGACCTTGGCTTAGCAAGCAGATACTCGTGAAATAACCGAAAAGATATGTTCTACTTCCCTATAGAGTTCGCCGCGCATTCATACACCATTCAATATCCCTCATGTCATTGAGTGCGAATTCGATTCACTCGCTGCTCAGCGAGAGTAAATTCACAATTCTCCATACGCAATCCCCGGGCATGTCTTGCAACTACGGTCCATCCTTTGAAAGAAGGAAATTAGATCGACCTAATAACGTTTAGCCGCTAGCAATTCTTGATCTGCCACCATTACATAAAAGAATTTCATAAAAACTGTTTGTGGGAAGAATGACAAAAGGTGGAGTTCCTTAATGACGTATAACGGAACCACTCACGCATATGTTTCGGAAAAGATAAAGAAAAAATAAAAATAAGAAGAAAAATACAAAAAATAAAAGGTTAGCGAATAAAGCTGGTGAGATTTGAGCATGCAATGATGATTCGGAAGAAAGTATGGATTGCAAAAAAGGTGACGTAGTCTTGAATTTTTCATTCGAGCCTTCATCTTTCTTCAGCTACCTTCGCGTGAGAACCTTAGAGTACACCTTACTTCTAGGAATCCTACTTCTCATATCAGCCATCAAACTACATACTACCTTGAAATTCCTTTTTTCATTCTTTCTTTGACCATACAGCTACAAACTAAGGGAACATTGAAATTCCGTAGCTAATAATCAGCGAAAGTCGCTGAATGATTCTAAAAATAGGCTCAATGGTAAAGTCACCAGCCCGTATGTAGTCGTGTCAGTAATGTATAGGAGCATTCAATTCGAGTGGATTGGCTACATTGGTGTTGGCGTTGCTATGATCGAATTGAAGTCCACTCAGCATCATAGAATGGGGACCTTCTATGGTGATCAGCTTCTATAGAAATTTTTTTCTACAATTATTTACCACACTATTATTATTGAATTAATGATTTTATTTTCTATTTATCTGACATGGATGGGGCGACACTCTCTTGAGAGCCTTGGAAATACATGGATGTGAGAAATAATTATCATCATCTTTTTCACAGCCTAGTTTCCAAGACACATACATGAGGCCATAATAGATAGGCTTTCCTCCTATTTACATGATAGCATGTGAAGAAAAGAATGGAGCTTGAAGCATTCTTTTGACTCTAATTTCCACTGATCCAAGTCGAATGATACCTCGACAACTTTGAACACCTCAGCAACGTCGGGAATAGCCACAAGAACGCTCGTAGAATCTCCTTCGAATCAGAAAGCACTCACTCCAAG